CTTTATAATTCCTAATGGTGGTAAGTTTCTGTACTGAGATCAATATTTCAAGCAAATTGATTCTCTCACTTTTTTAATTGATAGAACATCATCCTATCTTTTCCCACCACTGATAGATTGAATGAACATGAACTATGAAAATAGTTTTATTTGCGTTTTCATTTTAACAAATATATTTAATGTCTATTTACCAGGGTACCGTATGGCCGCTGAATGTGCTAGAAGTGCATTGCTGGGGAAGGTTGTGGATAATAAACTTGATGCAGGTGATAAAATCTGCCTGCCTGCCCTATGCTTCTCATGGTTGAAATTGGTTATTTTTTTGTATGCTTGACAAAATCTTGTGGAGTGTTATCATTTGTCATAGTTTTACATTTAACACATCAATTTACAATCAATTATTTATCAAGCAGTATTCATGCACTTGGATTTGCATTTTTGCTCTATGCCAACTAAAATCAATTAATAAATAATTTTCTCTTGTAATGATGGTTGTAATAATGTGGGAATAAAAATACAAAGAGGAAGAAAACAATAAATGAAAGTAAAATGGTTTTACATTCTAAAGTTAGCAGAAAAACAGTTACCTGGGGTGCATACAACTATATCCAACTTTTTCCTGGAAGTGTGAATCAACACTATCTTGGGGTCTGATTCTGTTCTTCCACTTTCAGATAAGTTCCAAGCAGACTTGATGAAGATTGCAATGACTACTTTGAGTTCCAAAATTCTGTCTCAGGATAAAGAACATTTTGCAAAACTAGCTGTTGATGCTGTTATGAGGCTGAAGGTATGATGAACAGAGGAAATACTCATTAGAAACCTGGAGTGTGTGTGTGTGTGTGTTTTCCCGTCACTGATTTATCCCTTTCTTCTAAGTCCGTCATCACTATGGTGATAGTTTTGTGTTAAATTTTTTGACCATCACTTTTTGTAATAATTGTTTGCCATTACTCTGAATAGTTACTGTTGCTACCAAATATATTTGGTTAATCAAGTGAGAATGCTGTTGACAGGGAAGTACGAATTTGGAATCAATTCAGATCATAAAGAAGCCTGGCGGTTCTCTGAAAGACTCATTTTTAGACGAAGGGTGAGCCATCTGAAATTTTTAATACCTAATAAATGTTATATACCATAATCCGTATTTTTTTAAGTGAGTTTTGATGTTTACTCTTTTGATTTCATTGAACTCCTGTTTTGACTAGCTTAACTAGGTCTAGATGAGCAAATTTTCAGAATGCTATTTCCCTTATTTGATGCTTTTCCTTTCAGTCTCTGAAAAAATCTCATTCTTTTCTGACATTATGTATGTTCAGATTTATCTTGGACAAAAAAATTGGTGTCGGCCAACCAAAGCGTATTGAGAACGCAAAAATTTTGGTGGCAAATACTGCAATGGATACAGATAAGGTGAAAATTTACGGGGCACGTGTTCGAGTTGACTCGATGGCAAAAGTTGCCGAGATTGAAGGGGCTGAAAAGGAAAAGATGAGGGAAAAGGTACAAAAGATAATCAATCACGGGATAAACTGCTTTGTGAACAGGCAACTGATTTACAATTTTCCCGAGGAACTATTTGCTGATGCTGGAGTTCTTGCGATAGAACATGCTGATTTTGACGGCATTGAGCGGCTGGCTCTTGTTACGGGTGGTGAGATTGCATCGACTTTTGATAATCCAGAATCTGTTAAGCTTGGGCACTGTAATGTTATTGAGGAAATTATGATTGGAGAGGACAAACTTATCCACTTTTCCGGGGTTGCAATGGGTCAGGCATGCACGATTGTGTTGAGAGGTGCAAGGTATCTAGACAATAATCATCCCAACTGTATTATTATTATTATTATTATTATTATTATTATTATTGTTATTTATTTATTTATCTATGTATATTTATTTTCAATTGCATATAACTTTTGATATTCGTATATGATTTGTTTGAGCATTTTGAGAGATGGAATCACATGATCGAATGTATTTGCATTTTGGAAGACCGATATTCTTTCTTATTTGTAATTCTACTCTCCTAATAATTCTACCTTTTCGTGATAGTGACACATGCTGGATGAAGCCGAAAGATCTCTACACGACGCCTTGTGTGTTTTATCACAGACGGTAAATGACAGCAGGGTTTTGTTCGGAGGCGGATGGCCGGAGATGGTAATGGCAAAGGCAGTTGACGAACTTGCAAGAAAGACTCCCGGGAAAAAAGCTCATGCAATTGAAGCTTTTTCACGTGCGCTTGTAGCTATTCCAACTACCATTGCAGATAATGCTGGTTTGGACAGTGCCGAGTTAGTTGCTCAGCTTCGTGCAGAGCATCATAAGGAAGGAACCTCTGCTGGGATTGACGTCATATCGGGATCTGTGAGTAAATCAATCATTTTTAACTCAAATTTAACTTAACCCAACCTTCCTTAATATTATTAATATAATTAATTAATACCAATCAATCATCCTCACACGTCATATCAACTTTAATTTATATTCATCCATCACTTTTAATCACCCCTCCTACTTTTATATCAAATCAACTTTCATCATTTTATTTTAAATATTATTTTAATATAAACTCAAAATCCCACTCAAACCTAACACAACCAACATTTTTTTTCAAAATTACTTCCGATTAACCAAAAAATTCAATCAAACTCAAATTGGTTTATATCCAAGCAATCCCTAAGTCGTTCATATGTTGTTGGGTTCTATATATTCATGATTTCTATTCTAAACCTAAATGGTGGATTTTTTATGTCTTGCAGGTTGGAGATATGTCGGAGCTTGGTATATCCGAGTCGTTTAAAGTGAAGCAAGCTGTATTGCTTTCGGCAACTGAAGCTGCTGAGATGATTCTAAGGGTTGATGAGATCATCACTTGTGCTCCGCGAAGGAGAGAAGACAGGATGTGATCAGAAGAATGTTTTATAAGGTTTCCAGTGGATTTTGAATCTTTTTTTCATTTGTTTTTATTTTAAATTTTGAATGTGTGGGGGTTGTTGTTCTGCTTATCATGGTAATGTCCCATAGTTTTCATGAGAAGAAAAATGTTAAAACAGTATCTGCTGATCTGCTCTGCTTGATTTTGAGTTACTGGAAACTCTTATTTATTTTGAGATCCTCGATTATAAATCTGAAGTTTGAACACTGAGTATGGCCTGATTGTGACACTGTTCTCCCTTCCTAGATTCATTAAGCCACCACTTTTACCAAAAATTGCTAAGGAGGTCATTTTACTTATTATGTTTTCTTGTTTTCTCTCTCTCTCTTTTTTTTTTTTTCAAGCACTCAAANAAAATGGGATTGCATGACCAGAAAATGGTCATGAAGGCGGGCAATAGAAGTGCTTAGAATAAAATTTTTCTAAGGAAAATAGGATTGCATGACCAGAAAATGGAAGTGCTTAGAATAAAATTAAACTCCCAAGTTTGTGCAATAAAATGGCAATGAAGGCGGACAATTCCAAAGAGTGAGTGCCAAAAAAAATAATAATAATAATAATAAAATATAACAAAAAAGAGAATTTATAGGGTACCCAACCTGAAAAGATACAATCAAAATATAGGTGAGCATAGGAACCAAATGCATCGAATAGCAGTAAATAAAGTGAAAATGCAGCTCTTCAAAGCGAAAGATTAAAAAGAAGGGAACTTGTAAGAGAGAACTCTCAAGCTTATAACACCTTATACCATAAACCCTCGTTTGCTTTAGAGGATGCAATAGGATTGCATGAGCTATCCAGATATTACCAACCATTTGTCAACCTTGATACTATAACATAGTCCATACAGTCAAACCCAACCAAGGAATGATTTATTCCAATCCCATCACTGTCAACCAAACGAAGATGGATTAGATTAGTGGAGGGTTCCTAAGACATAAAACTGTTAACAAAAACCTAACTCAACCATGGACCCATCACCCATAACTTTCTCTACAGTCTGTACATAAACATAATACTGCAAACCTCATATCTAATAATGTAGTTTTATTTTCCCTAAAATCATCTCAATGCAAGATTTTGTAGTTCTACATCAAGTTGGTCCCGAGAGGCAAACTGGCTCACCGAACGGCGTAGCCTCTTGGGCCGTTGGCTCACTGGGACCAAACAACGGAAAGGAGAGCCTGTTGGTGATGAAGAAGAGTGTGAACTCTGGCTAGATGGCGAGCCAGGATAATACAGCTTGCCCGTTATTGATCTCCTTATTTGGTTATTTACGAGCAAGGATGAGATGGACTCTGCCATTGCTCGTTTTTTGGTGGCATCGTCAACGTATAGAAGATCGTCGATTCTTGACGTTAAGTTGAAAGCTAAGCTCTCGAGTACCCTTGAGTAGCTCTCGAGGATCGACTGCCCCACATCCTGAGGTTTTATGGATGAGGTTAAAAGGTTTAGACCTATAAAATATGAGAATAAGCGAAAAATTGTAACTTAATGTACTGTACTACCTTGTTATACTGAATCTTGTTCATGTCTAGAGTGGTTTGAGGGAGACCGGGAAAGTGCAGTTTTAAGTTCTTCAGGATGGTTTCTGCTCTGTGTGCAAAGAGTTTACTCTTTTCAGAATCACAAATGAAGCCCTTCATGGTGGCTTCCCAAAACGAAGCTGACCTCGTATGAGTTGGTTTCTTCTTTCGAAATTTCGATCTCCAGAAGTGTAGGGCGCTTTCGATCCTATTTGCTATCTCCAAGGTACTGTGTTCTGACGAAAGGTCCAGGTAATCGAGAAGACAATCGGGGGAGAACTGATCGGCGGTTAGGTAATGATGGAGGATTTCACCTAAACAAGCTTTCTCATTCTGGAAGAAACAAATAAAACATTAAGAATCTTATAGAAACAGCCAAGTAAATGAGCCGAACAAGAACAAACATTCCCGCAGACCTACTTTTCTATATATATATTGCATTTGCATGGACTGACAAATTGAGAACCACTTATGTAACGAATTACCATTTTCACATTCCAAATATGGCTTAGAAAGTTAAAGATTCAGTTTGAAGATCATCTAGTTCCTTCACTCGAATTGGACAAGGAATAAACAAAGACATACTTCTATCAAACGAGAACAACCAGGATCTAGCTATGAGAGACAGGACACATCTAAACAAATTTTCTTGATCATAATTTCAGTCCCCATAATTATTTGGGTCGGCAGTTATAGTCTGCCAATTTTCGACCTCGACAATATGTCCTCTTCTCAAGTAACTTTCATACACTCCCGTTGTTTTGGTATCTTCAGGCATTTTGAGCAGAAACATTAAAACACCAATTTGGTATTAAAATTGCGAAGGTCTTAATACCTAACAGGAAATAATCACGATTAACCGGAAAAACTTTAAGGGTCCATCAAACCACCAAATTCATCATCACAAATACCATACCTTAGGCAAGTTGTCCAAGTAAACCTGCGGCACCTCCATCTCCGATAGCACGCCATTGTTGATGGCCACGGCCGCCTTGAAAATCTGCTGCGTGCACTCCCTGCATTTCCCCAGCCTCTTTCTCATCTCCTCCGACAATCCCTTTGCAGGAACCTTCGGGAAAGGCAGCCACCACTTCTCCTCGAGTTCCGAAGAAGGACGCGCCTCAACAATCAGACCTCGGCCAACATAGTGAAACTCGGCATCTTTGAACCCATCTAAGATGCTCATCAGCATCCCGTCGAGTTTCTTGAGAGCCGGGAGGTTTGAGTACAGGTCAGATCTCTGCCGAGTCACCATTATCTCGAAGCTGGCGCCACCTGGAACTTCCTGCACAGACGGGACGAGTTCGACTATGGAGTCGCTAACGCAGAGGAGCCACTCCATCTCACGCTGCCACATGGATTTTTTCTGTGGAGATAATGGTTCCAGCTTCCAGATGTCTCCAAAGACACTAGCTGCGAGATTAGTGATTGCGTTTGAAATTGCTAGAGCAGTGCTCACTCCCTGGCCTCCACCGGACATGTCTTCTCCCAGCAACAATTTCGAAAATCGTTCCTTCATCATTTCAGCTTCTGCAGAGTCACAAAAATCAGAATCCACATCCTCATCAGAAAGCATAAATGCACTAGAAAACAGCATAGATCAACTCTGTTAGATCTCATTCTCCGATTTTTGCAATATGATGTATAACAATATACTACCACCGATTGACTACTGATCGATTACCAAATCGCAGCAAGATAAACAGCACAACCCACTCAGGATAATCGAAAAGGGGAAAAAATAATGTCGGTTTTGCAGTAGAAATTGAAGACTGGAAACTCACCGGTCAACTCAGACGGCTCAGGTTCATCTCGATCCGCCTTTTCCCCTGGGAAGACGACGTGCCTGCCACCCACAACCGGCAGCAAGCTATCGGAGCGGGAAAGTATATGCAACGGAGGCGACGCCAGCCGGCGGCCGGAGGAAAAGGTGGCGCCGCTCGATGTGGAGCTCTCCGACTCGCTGACGTCAGCGCTCAGGCTGTAACCGTCGTCAAAACGGCGCGACTCCAGCTCCAGGTCCTCGAATTCACAAACGGACTGCGTAATCAATCCGTTACCCACCATCTCCCAATTTCTATAACTCCTCCTTGAGAAACCGAAAGTCAAATAAAAATTAACCAAAAAAAAAAAAAATTAATCCATTGCGCAGCTCAAACAACGGCACAATTTCAAACGTAAAACGTACGCCACTGATGAAAGCTGAAAAGCAAACTGTGCGTGTGCGTGTGAGAGAGAGAGAGAGGAATGATTGAGAGGAAAAAAGTAGAAAAAGGAAATGAAACAGTAAAGAAAAAAGCGCAGTACGGTGCAATGTATAAAAGCTCTGTTTTGAGTATGGTTTAAGAGGGTGATGATTGTTGGTGGGATCTTCAATTTATGTACTGATTGGTTGCTGTGTATTTGCGTGCGGTTCGTACAGTGACGGTTCACTGGTGGCGGAGGACCACCGTCACATGGTGGCGCCGCCTTTTGTAGCACTGAGCTCCGACATTTGTTGGCGCTTTTGTGAAATGAATTGTTTGCATATAAAATATTTTATTTTGATTTTTGGGTAATATAATACTCTGTTCTAAAATTTGCGTTCCTATTAAAATTCCCATAACCTGTTTATATTTGTAATTTTGTATTATGCTCAATTTCTCATTTACGTTTAGTTTATATAAGCAATAAATTGTACAATACATCCTTATATTTATAAAATTGTCAATAAAATTTTATAAAAATATTAATAACATGACTCAAAATCAAAACTTGATGAGATGTTGCAACCAACAACAAAAGAGGTTAGACACACAAATGGAAAATGTAAAAAGTTTGATAAATGAGGTTAGGCCGCATTATATAAAAATATAAAAAATTTAACATAAAAATGGAAAATGTAAAAATTTTGATATAAAAGGGGGTATTATATATTTTAGTTGTATCTATAAATATAAGTTTATTGTTATGTTTTAATACGTATCAATTGGGGGTTAAGTGTAAGACTTTGACTCAACTAAATTTAAACGAACTTAAATTTGGGACCACACTTAATTCGTTCGTTTCTGCAGTTGGAAATTGAATTTATGTTTAGGTTTTATAATAAATGTGTATTAATTATATTTAACTTGTAACCCATCCTGTGATTACATAAAAAACAATAGTATAAACTTTGTATATAAAAATGTCAACTAAAATAAAAAGTTACTCCCTCCTATTTTTATTATTTGTCATTCTAACTTAATTGATTATTTGTTAAATAAATATCATTTTGGCTATTTTGTACATATTTTTCTATAAAATGTATCATAGATAAATTATTACATTAAATGCTTATAGCTGAAATTTTAGATTTCAATAAAAAAAAAATATATAAATGTGGAATTTATCATATATTAATGATAATTATTATAGAAATATAATATATAATATAATTTTACATGTACTTTGAGTATAACAGTAACAGTAATCATAAAAGTATCACTGGAGTAAAAAAAAATTAAAATAGACAATATAAATTTTATATAGTATATAATAATCTTTTAATATAATTAGTGTAGTGATTATATTTTTTTAAATAAAAAAAATGTGCAATTTGAATTATTCATCTAATAATTGTTCGAGTATAATTTAATACTTTTATGTATAATATTTTTATTACAAAAAAAAGTTGTCATTATAAAATATCACAACTAACTTGTAAGATACAGTAATAACGACTGTAAGATTTTTATCTGTAATATGTAGGGAGAAAAAAAACTATTACATTGAATCGATAACTAATTCAGTAATTTGTATAATTTGTGTGCACAACAACAAATAGAAATTAAATTTAAAATAAAAACTGATAAAAATAACATAACCTGATAAAGCTAATATAAATCAATGAAATTCATACAAATGGAAAACAAAAAATAATTAATAGGATGATGGTTTATTTTATAAGATAAATTCAAAATCTACACATTACTTCTAAATAATTGTCTTGAAACTCAATTTATGATACTATTCAAGATCGTTAAAATTAAGTGTGAATAATTTGAAGTCCAAATTTAAAAATTAATTTTCAACAAAAAATGAGGTATATAGTAGTAGTATTGAACGGTTACATCAAAATATAGTACTATTACTTATCATTTACCAAATAACAAAATGTAATTAAATTATTTTTAAAATATAACCGTAACAATTTTTATGAATATTGTAATATTTTATTATAAATATAATGATGTAAACACGAACAAAAAGAAAATTAAAACGTACTAAAACAATTGAAAATTTTAGGCGAAATTTTTTTCTTTTGAAATAAATGAATAGCCTAGAATTATATATGTATTATATATTAGACTACTTTTATAGAAAAAAGAAGAAATTTTATATATTAATTAAATAATACTAAAATGTTATGGAGTAAACGTAATTACATATAGAATAAATTTACTTTGGTATTAAGCAAAATAGGTTAGTCAATAGGGTATAATTTACTGTCACGCACGCGTCAACAACTTAGTCATCATTTATATGATCCATACTTAGATTGGACTAAGTTTAGGTCAAACATGTAATAATTAATTTGGTAAATGTAATTCATTGCTTCAAATAGTATTCTAATAATTAATTATCGAGACATTAGTTAATCTATATGGTAATGATCTAGTTTGTAATATCAGTTTTGACTCAATTTTTTAAATTTGATTGTAATAAGATAATGATTAAAGTTTTATTGTGCGAAACAAAAACGAAATCTATATTTACATATATAAGTTGTATTAATTTGTACACATTTTGTGCAAATGGGCTGATAATATTGCAAGGCACATAAATGTTGCCCAGGAAAATCTATAATTTCAAAAGTCATCACTGTACCAAAATTACTAATAATTTACTATCCATCATTCATTTTCTTGACCAACATTATTGATATACTTAGAAGGGAAATCATGGTGGATCTTGCGACACTTAAAAACAATAACAAATTTAGATTAGGTTAATAGTATTACAATCCATATGTTAATACATGAATATTGACTGTGAATTTTTGACAAACCTAGTACAAATTTCATTTTAAATTGTAAATACTTCTTACCAAAATAAATCAGTATTTTATTTAAGCTAGCATCCATCATAATAAAGGCTTGTGGGTTTCTCTTATCAATATCAACCATGAATATGAAAAAATAAGCAAAAGAAAAAAACAACAACTTAGAATCGAACATGACATCAAATTTGATTGTCCTTATGGGTAAAAAATACATATATATATATAAATAAAATAAAAANTATTGTTAATTTTTATTTGATATATCAATATTCTTCATAAGAATGATGTAAATATATTATCTTTATCAAAACATTACGACAAATAAAGTTCTGCACGACATACTACAAATGCAACAACTATTTTTTTTAATCATATATCACAAGTATTAGTTTTACTTTTTATTATTTTACAGTTAGATATTACCATGTAGATATTTTATTCTTATGGTTTTTGCAAGAATGCTATCAATGTGTATTTCTAAAAAAATAATCTAAATTATATTCTCATAAATTTAATGCAAAATAAGTGTTGGTTGTTGATCTAAACATTGACGGTGATAATATGGATTATTGCATTAATGTGACATAAAATATAAAGAAAAAAGAACATCTTGAAAGAATATAGTAAAAAATTATTGATATATATATAAACATTTATGTTTTTATTTTTCTACTTTTAGATGGACATCTATTGTCACACTTTGTATTCATAATAAAAATTAGATGATTTAGTGTTTGAACATGACATCAGAATTTGTTTTCATTTATGTGTAAGAAATAGACTAATATTACAGAATTATATCGTTAAAGAAAAAAAAATAATGATAACAAAAGAGTGAGAAAGTCTCAGTCATAAGGTATAGATGATAGTATGGTTTTGATTGTGAAGACTGAATAATACAATATATATTTTTCGTCCAATTATTACATGGAAATTGCGTTATATATGAGGCATTAATTTTATATTAGTTTTGGTCCTAACTGATTGAATAGCTGAGCTCAAAATAAACAATTTACTTAATTCATTTGATTTGATTCATTTAGGTCTAAGTTTGAGGTCATTTAAAAGTTTATGACTAAAATGATCGCCCGCATTTTAATTTATTTATTGTCCACAATTTTTTTTTTCTTATAAATGAAATAGCATAATATATTAAGTATTGTTAAAATTTTGTTATTATAACACATGTTTTTTTTTTCTTAAGAGAATGACGAGAACGTATTATCGTTACTGAATCCTTGTAATAGATAAAGTTTAATGCGGTTTATCATAATGCATCAACTACTTTTTCCTTATCATTTATTATCAAATGTTAGTTTTATCAAATAAAATTACTCTTTTAGTATGTATATGTAACTTACAAAAAATGATCTATCTTGCAAGTCATTCTGATCAACACTTAATAAACTGTAATATTCTAGTCAAACAAACTAATCAAATCAGCTATCACGTATTGGTTAATAGAATTAACTATTATCTATAAGCTAATTGTTGAACAAGCTCGTTATTTAATTGGATGAAACTAATATGGGGTCCAATGAAATTAATATCATTGTAAATGTTAACAATAAATGAAAAGAACTTGCAACAGTAAAAACTTAGGTGGTTGCTGAGGATCTCATTCACCCACCTGCACTACTCAAATATTGAGTTGCCCCTTAAAGATTTTGAATAATAATACCATATGGTGTGATGCAATGTAACTGAAGACAGTCCACAAAAGATTAAATGATCATCAATATTTTTGCCATTAGCGTTCGATTTTATTGCACTACTTTAATTACTATGCCAAATACCATGAATGTGGTGCAAAAGAGTTTACTAAGGTTTGTTAAAAATGATTATGAACTCTAATCAATAAAATAGATGAAATATAAGAGCATCTCTCATGCTCGGATGCTCAGTGAGACTGATGGTATGTATAGATTTACTTTGATGCTCAGTGTAGCTGCTTATTCCAGCTGTTACGGCTGTCTCCTTCATTTGTATCTATGTGTTTTTATTTATGAAAATATGCCGTTGAAAAAAAAAAAAGACTAATTAAAATTTTAGGAGTTCACATTTTCATTCGTTGTGTCAAATTTCATATTTTTTTATGTTATTTTTTTGTTATACCTTTTCTTTAACAACACTATATGTATCCTATATAACATTTGTTTGTAGTTTTAAATATTACATATACAAGTAAATTAAAAATCTATTAAGATGAACCCCCTAAACACTTTCGGAGGAAACATGTATCTAAAGGTGTAATTTTAGTAGAGCTGAGTGAAATACTCCTTGATCAAGTCTGCACTCCGTTTAATAAACAAGCTAGGTCGGACCGTTTAAAATCGCAGTTCGACCCGTTTAACAAAGCGAAATTCGTTTATGTTGTCTGCAAACAGTGTTTGCGAAAATATTCGACTTGGTGTTAGTTTGAAACCTATAAATTTATCTTAAGAAATCATAAACGAGCTCAACTCGTTTAATAAATGAACTCGATCAGTTAATCGAACTCGACTCCTTTAAGTAAAAAACGAGAGGAATTCGAACTTTCACGGACAAACTGTATTTGTAATAATTCCAATGACATTCATACATTTATCAATATATACGAAAATAAAAAACACATATATTTNTTAAAAAAAAAAAAAATAATAATCCCCAATAGTCAATCCAAAAATATAGCATTCAAAACATTTTCACAAAATACAAAAAGAAAATCCTCGTTAGCAGTAACACCAGAATACTTTTCCCAACATCATGGCGACATAGTTTCTGCTATATGTCAACATACTGTCGACAATTCCGTACTCCCCAGCCCGCCATTACCAATCCACGCGCCACTTGAGCTCAACAACCATGGATTCGCTCGCCATCCTGTCCTCATCCCGCCAATATTCTTCTCCCTCGCTTTCTGCCTTATATTTCTTCGCATTGTCGCCTGCAATCTCTATCGTTCTCAGGCGCATTTCGTCGAACACAAGCGATACAGTTCGAAATCTTGATTTCTGCTGTGAATTTTTCCCTTATTGTCTGCATTTTCGGAGATGGGATCGTTGCCCGCCATTGAAAAGCCTCTGGAGTATCCATTAGCTCGTCGAGATGAGTCCATGGTTGATAACTATCATGGCGTCATGGTCCACGATCCTTACCGATGGTAATGGTGTAGTTTCAAGTTTTCATTTTTATTCTACTTTTTCTTAATTTCTATCAATGGGTACGCTTAAAAGGGATTAACAAAGTTCAAGTTGTAATTTCTTGTTGCTTTATAGTTGTAATAACCTTATCATGAGAGCTCGGACATTGTAAGTATGGAGATCCCAAGAGCCTTTTTGATTTATTCAGCTGTCCTTGTTTTGCTTATTTGAAAAAAAATAAAAAAAATAAAAAAATTCTGAACTTTTATGTTTAGGCTTGAGGATCCTGATTCTGAGGAGACAAAAGACTTTGTGGAGAAGCAGATGAAGTTAACAGATTCTGTGCTCAAAACATGTGAAACAAAGGAAAAGCTTCGCGACAAGCTTACGAAGCTATACGATTTTCCCAAGTATGATGCTCCATTTAGGGCCGGGGACAAATATTTTTACCTTCACAACACGGGTCTGCAACCACAACGAGTCCTATATATTCAGGTTTTCGTAAGTTTTAAAATTCTTTAGCCTGGAAATTATTTAATGCTACTTACATTGAACTTTTTCTTGAAGTGTTTCGCTGTACGCCATGTCGAAGTGCAAAATTTTATTAAAGCTCCTTCTGATTTTCTTTCTTTCATTTGCTTTTTGGGTGGTGTAGGATAGTTTGCATGGAGAGCCCGAGGTTTTGCTTGATCCAAACACATTAAGTGAAGATGGTACAGTGGCTTTGAATACTTATGCAGTTAGTGAGGAAGCAAAATACTTAGCATATGGCATTAGTTATAGTGGAAGTGATTGGGTGACTATCAAAGTTATGAGGATTGAGGACAAGACAGTCGAGGCCGACACTGTTTCATGGGTAGATTTTCCAAAAATTCACGATACCGACAAAATTTCGATGGTGTTATTATATGTATAAATGATAATTAGTTATGTTTCTCTTAATGCAACTTTATATCCTACAGGTTAAGTTTTCGAGTATTAGTTGGACGCACGACGGCAAAGGTTTTTTCTACAGTCGTTATCCAGACCCAGGGTAGGTGATTATTTTCAACTTTTAATGTTTTGTTTCATCATTAGTTTATGCAGAACTAGGTTGAGATGAATGTTGCAATGACATTGCACAATATACATGTTTAATTTGCATTCTTTCTGGGAATTTGCAATTGGTTAGTGACTTAGTTCTGATTTTTCATGTTGTATGGTTTTTTGAGGGCTAGAAAATTAGATGCTGGGACAGAGACACGAGTCAATCTACACCATGAACTGTATTATCACTTTTTGGGTACTGATCAGTCGGAAGATATACTGTGCTGGCGGGACCCGGACAATCCTAAACATACACGTTCGTCCTCAGTGACAGAGGATGGGAAGGTACTAAAATTTGTGTTTATTTCAAAAGTACTGTAAAATGGTTTGTTGTTATTTTTATTTATTTTTTTGCGTCGTTTTCCGATTTGCAGTATGTTCTTCTGTACACATACGAAAATTGTGGTCCAGTCAACAAGATTTACTACTGTGACTTAACAGCAATGGCCCAAGGGCTCAAGGGCCATAGAGCCAAAAAGGAGTTGCTTCCTTTTGTGAAGCTCGTCGACACTTTTGATGCCTCTTATCACTATGTTGCAAATGATGACACAATTTTCACGTTAAGAACGAATAAGGATGCTCCTAGAAGCAAGCTGGTCCGTGTAGATCTCAGAACACCTAATTATTGGTCCGAGTTGCTTCAAGAAGATACTAAGGATGTGCTTGTCTCTGCTATTGCGGTTAATGGTAATCAACTGGTGTTGAACTATTTGAGTGACGTGAAAAACGTTTTGCAATTAAGAGATTTGCAGACGGGCGCCTTTTTGCACGATTTGCCGCTTGATATTGGGACGGTGTCCCAGATTTGTTCTAGGCGCAAGGACAGCATCGTCTTTATTGGTTTTACGAGCTTCCTTGTTCCTGGCATTATTTATTCATGTAATTTGGAAGCTGATGTCCCGAAAATGGAAATATTTCGAGAAAATGTTGTCCCTGGCTTTGACAGGATTGCTTTCGAAGCTCGTCAGGTAAATACTAAATAGCATAACAGAATCTTTGCTTGTTAGCTGGAAAAAAAAAATTGGATTTTGTGATTT